AATCTTAATAATTATTGCAAGTACTTTCACCTTGTCTAGGTGAAAATAAGCCATTTCCCAGTAGTTCCCTCTAAAACAATGGTTCTCAACCTTGGTTGTACATCGGAATCAGCTGTGAAGCTTTAAGACTACCTAGAGATTGATTTAATTAGTCTGGGGTACAACCTGGATAATGAGATTGTTTTAAAGTTCCCTAAGGTGTTTCTAATGTACAGCTAAGGATAAGAATCATGGGTGTTTTTTCAGAAAAGAAATCATATCCAAATCCTTAGCTAACTTAAACAGTGTTCATAAAATGAAACATTGTAAATTTAAGACAATAGTTCCATAATTTGTAGCTAATTTTACACACACACACACACACACACACACACACACACACACACACGCAGCTCTTTCCCCTGAGCTGAGAGAGCACCTAAGCAGTCAGGAGGGTTTTTTTTTTTAAGTCAGAAAGGACTACCATTTCCAAAGAGGGTTAGAACTGTCCACTTTACTGTAGTATTAACACTCAGATGTGAGAGTTATAGGCAAGAGCCCACTGTGAATTATTTCACCCAATACTATTTCCCCACAATGCTCTCTTCCTGAATAATTTTACCAATGGAGCTTACCTCCCCATCATCTGCAATTGCACATGATTATTTGTATACATTACTTGAATTTAGAATGAACAAGAAACACTGTGAATCAGTGTGAGTGGTTAGATAAAAGGTTAACAAGGCACAATTTAATGCGGTTACAGTGACAAGGTACATACTGTAGTAACACAAAGAACACGAGTATATGAAACATATGAAAAGTTATTAGGCACCATTTTAATCTTTTTAATCCTCTCTTCATTATTTCCAGTTTAAAAAATAGTTGGCTCCTTCTCAACATCTCACTTTAACTTAATAAAAACAAATGAACAGAGCAACCTACAGACTCCTGGCTAACCAAAAGTATAAGCACTTAAAGTCACGCACATGTGAAAGACAGTTATAATTTGAGAATTGTAGTCTGTAAACCCACGTCTATGTGCGTGAATGTACTAAACGTCTTCTGTGGTGGTCATTATGTTTGTCATTCTCCCCACCTTCTAACCACCATGAACCCCTTTTATTACTTTTTTCCTCCAGGGCCCCAATGTTTCCCCCAAGGCTCAGCAAACAAACTGCCTTGCTTTATCTGTGTCATTGTTCTCCCTTTTCAACAGATTCCACCGTGAACCAATGATATCGAATCACCCAAGTTCATCATTACTGCTATTAGTTAACACTGTGATGGTGCAAAAATAATCAACGTAAATAAGTATCAGAAGCTTAAGAACTATTCACCGATAAAGTTATTTTGCTATTGGTGGTTTACGTCATATTTTTATTATGTATGTTCACTTACATGGTGTGACCACCTGATACAGAGCCTTATCAGTGTCTGGTCCACACTACCACCCACCCCCACCCCCAGAATTTTCTATAAAGTCATCAGTAGTCATCATCAGAGGGCTGAACTGGCATAGGCTGACAAATGCTATTCCTCAGAGTTGAAATTTTCTAGCCAAAAATCAAAGACAGACATGTTTTAGTCAACTGTAAGTGTAATGCTACTAAACTTTTCGGAAAAGTTTAGTAGCAACTCACGGATAAACCCTTGACTAGCTTTGTCGACCATTTAATTCACCATGTGACAAAGAACAACACTGGCTCGTCAGAGCCACTCACCAGTCCTAGCAGTCAGAGGGCTCTGACTGGCAAGGCAAGGCTCCTATCTCTGGGATTAATCTTCTGCATTGTAACAGGAGGACCCTTTCAGATCCCAACTTCAGAGTTTCTAAATTTTCAAAGTTGAAAGAAATAGCACCACATATTTCAATGACAAAAATTTAAGCTATTAAATCCCTTTACAAGATGTCTAACTACTTGAGGAAAGAATAAAAATATAATACATGGTGATTTTGCAATTATCCTGTTATTTTCTCTGTATAACCCAACTGAATAATTTGATGCACATTTCTTGTGCATCAAATTCACAAGAATATTCACAAGAATATAGTTAATTCCCATTTTGATTTTCTCTAGGAGGAAATCTATCAAAAGCTGCCCCAGCTCCCCTTAGCAAGCCACATGTTTAAAAAAAAAATGCATAAGGCCTTTTGAATAAGTTTGAATAAAGGAACTACTAGGTTGCATGGGGTCTCACCCATAATTTAAAAATTCACAAAAGTTAATATGACAGCACTCAGTGCTCTCAACATTTAAAAAAATTTCCAAGCATTCCAAATATTTTTTTCACAGAACATATGCAGCAGTATTGGGAATGCACCTGTTTGCTAGCTCAAATTCTGGAGAAACATACATTCTATAGGTATGCCTTGTTTTACTGCCCTCAATGTTAAAATGTTTTATTGAGCTTTGCAGAATTCTTGGGGTGTTTTGTTTTGTTTTGTTTCTTTATACACAAACTGAAAGCAAGTCCCTCCACTAGCAAAAAAATTACGATTTACTTTATTGCTGTGGTCTGGAAGGAAACCTGCAGTATCTCTGAGGTTGCCTGTAATTGAACAGGAGAAGCCGAGGGATTTGCCCTATTTTAAGAAGCAATGGTGAGCTTGTTTCATTAACAAAATGCAACAAGTATGTACAGTATAAATCAGCTACTAATAAGTGATTTGTTGCAAAAAAATATTTTCAAAAGGTAATATTCCAAACAGGAACTGCATCTGAATGTTACCACACATTGTTTTTAAGACTTTAACATACTAAATAAGCTTAAATGCAACATGAGTAAAATAAACCTGAATGATATTCATAAATTTTTATGACTGCCTATCACAACATGTTAAAAATTACACTTAGTTTAAGAATGACTACTGAAATTGAAAGTCACCTGACCTACTGCGTTGGGAAGAGGTAGCGGGTGACTGCAATGCAACTCCTCCAAAGTGACAGATGAGAAAGTATGGTACTCACCTACGAGTGGATGGAAGGTTCACAAAAGTCCCGGGGGGCGGGGCGGGGGGCACTCAAAACTGACCTGCGGAATGGTGTCTTCAACCATGCCAACTGGTGTGGGATTAGGAAATGCTACTCTGATACATTTCTCTCCTCCAAAATAAGAGGTCTGTGCAGAGGATCCCTACGTCTTTTCCAACTCTGGTGCATTTTGTGATTCTGAATTACTGAGAAGGTTAGGTACCTGAAGGATCTGTGTAATTAACTACCTACCAGCTGAGAGAATCACCCTATAAGCTTCCCTGAGAGTGAATTCTTCAAAACAGCTTAGTTTAAGCCTGTTTGAAGAGGATGGGTATATGGTGGTAGGAGGGCGTTGGGAAGACTGCATTTACTCTGAACTACAGGTTTTCAAAATTCAGTTCAAAAGCTCTCCAAATTTCTAAGAAATGCCTCACATGCTTAAGTTCATACTTCGGGAAACTAATAACATCTGTGCATAGAGGCATGGCTTGGAAAAATTACAATCTCTCTGGGTCTCCACCTCTTGTCCCAAACCAAGGGGTTTGTTACAGATTTCTACTGAACTTTCTAGGTTAGCATTGTACTTAAAAAAGGTCCCTAGACCGTTTTTGTTGAAAACACCCAGTTAGGCCCATTTCAGTCATTACTTCTGTCCGCTGCTGAACCTTAAACCCCTTAGGTCTTGTCTTCCAACTAAAGTTGGCACACACTGCACCTGAAACAAACTCCTCGCCTCTTCAGGGGAGAAAAAACATTTGTTTTGAAGTGGTTATGCACCAATCCTTTATTTCTATCAGTAGTGCGTTTCATTGGGCCAGCCCTCACCAGAACTACTAATTTACAGCACTTCTACAAAGCTGCATACCTTCTGCAGCATTTAGATTTGATATCCTAGTTATTAAGCAGTACGGAAAACTTGTCAATTTCACTTTGTTTTTTATTCACCGAGGAACATTTCCACCCCTTCGCCTTAGTGAAGACTTCCCAATTGGAAGTATCCCGATTCTACTTGTTTTATCTGGATACACGCTGATTCAGACCCACGACAAAGTCCAGCTCCAGCTCGGCTAGGTGAACAGGATGCGCCACTGCCTTTAGAAATTAAAGTTGACGGGAGCTACGCTCTAACCCGACCAGAGCCAATCCCGCCCGCGGGGTGCACCGACGGCCTGGGTCTCACGTGTGCCAAGGACACAGGTTCCAGCAAGCGGGGGTGAACACATGTCCGCTGCAACCCCATACCCAGGGGGTTGAAACACTGCCCTCCCCGCAAAGGTTCACTTACCCTCAAAGACTAACAAAAATAATGCGTCCTGCGCTAATTAGAGGGACAGCGAAGGTCCCCAGAGCTCTCCCGTGAGAAAACCCCGGGGAGAAACAAGTGGGAGGAGGCGCGCGGTCCTGCAACCAACTCACCTTCTGTTGCCTCCGGGCCATGTCTGTGGGCTGTTTGGCGTTGAAGGGGTACGCGATGCATCTCACAACGAAGACGTAAAGCTGCAGGCGGATCCTCCGATCTTGCTCCTCGTCCAGCTGCCGTTCGGGCTCATCTCGCCCCTCGCTGATCACCGAGGGGCTCGGGCTCCTGGGTCTGGCCGCGCCGCTGCCCGCGCGCCCCGGCGCGTCCCGCCGCCCTTCCCGAGCCGGCGCTGGCTGCGCTCGCTGGGAACCGCCAGCCGCCACCAGTACATCGCGGGTCTCCTCTTCTAGCCCCTCATCCGACTCCTCTTCGCTGGATGAAGGGTCCAGCATGGTGCTCGGGCCGCCCCGCCGCTCGGCCCCCACCCCCGGGTGCCTCAGCCGCGGCAGCTGCACCCGCGAGTCTGAGGGAGCCGCACGGCTTCCAGCAGCGGCCACAGAACGAAAGGGAAACTGCCCAGGGCTTTCCGGACACGTCGAGTTAGATATAGGAGTGTTTCCTACCACCAGGGCCAAAGGGGCGGGCAGGCGCCGGGAGGAGGACGTGGATGAGGAGAGGGGAGCCGCTGGGATTAAATAGGCGGAGTTACCGTTGGGGGTGAGCCCGAGAGCCTCGTGAATTAATCAGGCCAGCCCTGGGCCCGCCCACCCCGCGGTCCAGCACGCCGGACCGCCGGGCGGAGACCGGCCGAACGCAGGTGGGGAACCTGTGGCGCCTACAACAAGCAACACGTGGAATGGAATTTTGAGGAGCGGGCGCGGGGCGCGGAGTGCGCGTGCGCGCGCTGCTGCGCCGCGGGACCGGTTGCAAGGGTGCCGGAGGGTGCAGTTTGCCAAGGCGGGAAGCAACTGAACACGCTGGCTCTGTAGTCGCCCATCTAGGGGTGCTTGGACTGCCGTGATCACCCAACCTCTATCCTCTTTTTTTTCTCGCAAGATTCCTGAGGGGTGGGAGATTGGCTCCCACCACCCCCCAGATGAGCGGGGTCCCCAGAACCTCTCTCGGACCCGAACCTAATACCAGGGTTGAACTCCCGCACGGAAAAGTGGGGCCAGAGCCGTTCACCTCCAAATAACATTGGGAAGAGACTTTGAAAAGTCTGTCGCTCTGCTCTGCTGCTGTTTGAAGATGAAGTTCAAATTATAGAAGTCAGAGGAATGTTCTTGGGAAAAAACAAAACGAAAAGCAAAACGCTCGAGGCTTTTTTTTTTTTTTTAACTGTTTTTATTCCTGTGGACTCAGGAAGCAAGATAGATTTTATGCGTACGAAATGGCACACTGATTCAGCGCCCATATAACTCGATTATTTTCTGGGTTGGGATGTTGTTGACCCAAGACAGGTGGTGTAGTGTAGACATTTATTCAGCAAATATTTGAGTGCACTCCCAGGGTCCAGCACTGTTAAGTAGTTTGACTAGCCCGCGACGCACTGAGGCACACAGCACTTGGTCACTGTTGGCTCTGGCCTCAAGTGGGCGTCTGATACCGTAAGTCTGCCTCACCTGCCAAGATTTCTCACTCCCAACGTTGGAACCACCCAGGAGTTTCTGTGATTTTGTTTCTGGTGTTCTTAATCCGGACAGAGTGGGGAGATCGGGAACACAGTGCATTCAACACACGGTGCAGTGTGCAGTGGCCAAACTGGCAGGGAGGTGATAAAGCTCAATGGAAGTAGTACCAAGCAGACAAAATTACTGACTCTGAGCTTGTCTATCCCGTGGCCAAATAACAATTTGAGCTTTTCCGAACCACTTTCACAGTTAGGTAAACAATAAAGCAGCTTTCCTGCTGCACTTAGTGACATTTTCCCTAGATGGGGTAGAAAGGCAAAAGGCATTTTAACTCCTTCTTGTATATTCAGGGCTTGACTCATCTCCAACTGCCATGGAATAGGAAATCTCAAACACTGATGTATTTAAAAACAATATTTCATTTCTGGCAAGGTAAACAAAGAATGGCAAGCTTATTTACATTATAGTATCTAGTGCTTATATACATAGCACTTAATAATTTGCAAAGATTTGTGAATATGCTTATATAATAATGTCACCAAAGTAATCTTTTGAGACAGGTGGTGATGACGATTACCATTTACATCCTTTGTACCACGTACTGCACTAATTCCTTTACATATTGTATATACAGTATGATTTAGTTTTCGTTCCATTGTACAGATAGGGAACCTGAGACGTAGAGAACCTTCTTTTCTTTAGAACTAACTAATGGCACGAGGACTGAACATAGGGAGTCCATTCTAGTTCCAAACAGTGGCTTTTTCTACTACAATTTGTTTAATTATATATTAGTGTATTGAATGTATGATATTTATTAAACTGATCACTAAAATAATTTAATTCTCAGGGACATAAAAGTGCAATTGAAATATAGCAGTTTTATTGCCCTTCCTTTTCTTGCCCAGGAGAGGTATATATTTTCATTTTCCTTTATTAATCAGTCAACACTACTTGGTGTGATGGCTTGTTACTCTCTTCCTATTAAAAATGGTTATCAATTTAAAAATTCCCCAAGCCTTGGGGATCCCACTGGAAAACATCTAATAATTTTTTGAATAAGATATACAGAGTTTTCTCTATGAAGATGAAAATGGTTTAAGGAGCATAAATTAAAGAAACATCCAAAAGACAACGCAGAGAATGTTTAATTATTTCATTAATTAAACACACATTGTTTAAGAAATTAACATATGTTAAAACTATGCTAGGTATATTTGGAAGAACAAGATACAGTCTCTGACCTTAATAAGTTTACAGGTTAAAGAATGACAGAAAAGCATTTATTTTTTAAAAAACAGGAAATAAATATTGGTATTGCTATCTGATGACTGTTGTAATAAACCAGGAGATAATTGTAGCACAGAGGAAAAAAACTTCATTCAGAAGAGAGTAAGGGAAGACTTCCAGGACGCTTGACATATATCTTGAAGAATGATCCAGAGCTTTTGGGGGATAAGGGCACTGTAGACAGGAGGTACTGCCTATGCAAAGTCATGAAATTATTTGCCTCATAGTACAACTGCTAGTAAACTGTTATCACTGAAGCGAAGGATACATGTGAAGATGTAGGAGATGAGACTAGAAAATAAGCAGAGGTAAATTCAGGATTGAGCAGGTCAGTGGGCAGGCACTGTGACCTTGTAATCCATGCTTTGGAGTTTAAACCATATCCTGGAGAAAATGGGGATACACATAAAGATTTAAAAGTAAGGCAAGACAAAGCATGATCTGTAACTCTTAAGAGTCAATCTAGAGCAATGCAAGGAAAGTAAAATCAGAGGCAAGATACCAAGAGATTACTAAAGAAATCTGGGAGAGAAACAATGAGAGCTTGAATTTAAAATGGGAGACAAGGCGAGAAGGAAATCTTAAGAGATGAAGAAAGGAATTAATAGGATATGTATGAGAAACTGAGAGAGTCAAAGAATATGATTCCCAGTATAAGATAACTTGACTGTTAATAGATAAAATATGGACTTCTAGAAGATAACTAGGTTTGGAGAAACACCAACTTTTGAGAAGCTTATCAGAGAGATCCTAAACTCTGTTAGAAACACAAATGTGTTACTCAAATCTAGAAAAGGGGATCATTGGCCTATTCATGGTAGTGAAGCTACAGATATAGTTGATAATGAAGTCCGGAGATCCTATATTCATAGAGAGAAAAGGGCGAATGATGGATCTCGAGGGAACGCTCTTTGCCTCTCCAATTAAGGGATGGATAGAAGAAAAGGAATGTGAAAAGAAAACATGATCATTAAAAATTAATTATGCCTTAAAAATTTCTAATTAACATTTTCAATTTTGCACATGCCCTACTGTTCTTGCCAAATTTCTACAAGCAATATTAAGTTTTCAGGTAATTATAACATCAGTTGATGCTCTGGGATAATTGAATAAATGATGCCCAATGTAAGATTGTGATTGGTTTGTACCATTTCATAAATACATGAAACACACTGGAATTTAGTCAATGATTCATTGTTACTTTTGTGAAGGTGAGCATAAAAACAAATCGAAGTTATACTGCTTTTTAATGAAACTCCTCTAAATGCTAAAAAAAAAAATGGATGCACAGTAATAAAATAGAATATAAATGTGTTTTGGCAATGATACTTAAGAAAACAGGTGTGTGACCTGAATAGCTGTAGGTGGTCTGTTTTCCGGTTGAGAATTGATTTGTGCATTTGACCTGAAAGGGAGGTATTAACTCTTTCAAGTCACAGATAAAATCATTCTTTCATTGAACAAACATTGTTTGAGCACCCACTGTAGGCTACAGAGTACTTTGTGTAGATAAAAACAATAAAAGTTTGTCCCTGAGGGGATGTGTATGAAACAGACAGCAGCAAAATGAAAAATTATGGTAATATATGCTCTTGTGTAAATAGAGAAAAAGATTCACAAAATACTCCTTAAGTGTTTTGGAAATGAGCAGTGTATTATCTTTTGTAGTATAGTTATAGTTAAAATTATAACAAAGAGAAGAATCCTTTCCAGTCAATTAGAAAAACTAGTTTTGCAAATATGTACCAGAAAACTGTCACCTCACAAACACAGCTAATAAGAAGAGTTTGCATTTACAAAAGATAAAAACAACAAATTTTTGAAACTTTAAGATGACTATTTTTATCTTACAAGGCAATGATCCTCCTGGCAACCACATTTAAATCCCTTTCTTCCCTTTGTTCAGCTTTTTCTTTTTCTCCCCTCCAGTTATAATTTGAGTGCAAGCAGAGAACTGTTCTGGGACTCCACTTTTTACTGATATTGGGTAAAAATACATGCAGATGATCAACACAAATTGACCAGTAACTGATACAGTTTTTTGTACTTGTATTACTTTGTTATTAAATACATTTTCTGACAGTCAGTCAATAGCATCTTATTGTGTGCCTATACTAGGACACCATAAAGAGACTATTGCAGTGACTGACTAGAAATTTAACCAATGTCTCATTTAAGAGATGAAAACTATACTGCTGTAAAAACTTACACCATTTCAACAATAATGCTCTAGAAAATTAAACTAAATTGAAGTGGACAAAATTATAAGGGACAGTCAAGAAACATCAAGTGGGAAAAATAAAGATATGTCTATAATTATTTACTATTATTTTCATCTGTAGCAATAGTTAATGAACTTGTTCTCAGAACTCATTTATACCATTAAAGTTATTAAAGACCCCAAAGATGTTTTGATTATGTGGGTTATATTTATTAGTATTTCTAAAAATTTAGAAATAGCTATTTATTATTTCATTTAAAAATAACAAATTATAATATGGCATAAATTACATATTTTATGAAAAAAGCACTATATTTTCAAAATAAAAAGTTGATTGGGAAGAGTGGCATTATTTTACACTATGCAAATCTTTATTGTCTGGCTTAATAGAATTTATGAGGATTCTCATATCTGATTCTACATTCAATCTGTTGCAATACATCATTTTGTTTGAAATAGATGAAGAAAATCCAATCACACATACATATGTAGTTGAAAACAGAAAGAGTGTTTTAATAGCCTTTTTATATAATTGTAGATATTCTTCTTTGTTGTTACACCAGAACTCAATAAGTGGTCATTTCTTTACGATAAGCTGCAATGTAGAATCTGAAACCACATTAACATTTTACTCAGTGATATTAAGAAGTTCACTAATCTGTCTTACACCGTGAGTGGACCTTTCACTGATTCATGGTTTTGTGATGTCATTCATTGGGCATTTGGAAAACACTGGTTCATTGGTAATGTAGATTGTCTAAAGGTTGACACTTAGTTTTATTATATAGTACTTAAAAATTACATTTGTCAATAACCACCAATCTCATCAAAAAGTCAGGTACTGGAAAACTACCAAGCTTACAGTGACAGGTACAAAATTTACAAAATTTTAATTTTTTCTTGAAAGCTTGAATTTTATCGCTGGCAACAATAATGACATTTTTCCTTAAGGTGGCAAGCTAACTTCACTGACTTTTGAGAAAATGTTCTC